GAAGGGTCTCGGAAGGGTCCCAGAGGCGCGCCGCGCGAGGAGCGGGTTGAGGCCATTCTTCTTGGGCACGAACTTGAGCACGGCGTATAGGTCCGGGTAGGTCTGCTGGCAGCGCACCACCAGGCCGAGAAGCCCGTCCAGCGCCGCGATGTACGTCTGCCGGCTCAGGCGGCGAGTCAAGAGCAAGTGCACGCTGAAGCCGCCGTCCGCCCACTCTTCCCACCCGACGCCTTGGCCGGCCGACGCGCCGAGCGGCACCGTCGTCGCCCCTTCGACAAACGTCGCAACCAGCTCCTCGTACTCGGCCGGAGGACGCTCCCACTCGGGCCATGGAGGGAACTTCCCGTCGGTGCCTGTGGAGAGTCTGGCGGCGGCGAGCGGGTCCGCAGTGGCCAGTGCCGCAGCGCTCCGGCAGCTGGTGGCTGCAAGAGGCGTGTGGACGGACGGACCGGCGATTAAGCTGAAGGAAAGCGAGGCGGCGGCGGAGACGAGCAGCATCGCTGAGTCGGCTTGCTTGCGCCCGGCTGCGCCCGGCTGTGTTGAAAAATTGCGCGAGGAGCAGCGAGGAGAGCTCAGCACCACACACCTCTCCTTAAAATCCCTGTGTGGTGGCGGCGTGCCGTCCTCCCATCCCTCCCTTGCCGTCTCCGTTTTGTTTTTTTCTTTCTTTAGGGGAAGAACAACTCGTACCGGTGAGTATGGACCGAATTCAGTAGTAACTGCGGGATGTGGCAACAAAGTTGGGACAACCAAGCATGTTAGAAGCCTGAGCGGGGCTAAGCACACACACGGGCAGACTGCGAGAGTATCAGCATGCCTGACTGTGATGGCCATGCTTGGCACACGACGCAACCCCCACTACCTCTAGACAGGCTTGTGAGAGTTTATAGAGCGCGATGGGGATGGAGGGTGGGAGAACCTCCGCGCCGCACTGGCGCCTGCGCGCCGGGCGGGGCGCGCGCCTGCGCCCCCGCCCTGACGCGGCCCCGCCGAAGAACGGCGAGAACAATGGACGGGGACGTCCAATATGCGGATTACCATTGGACCACCGCCGTAGTAAATCCGATTGCGATTGGACGCCCGTTGAGGATGAGGGAGATCACACTCCCTCGACTGATCTGAACTCTGCTTCCCCATTCCCACAGTCACCGGTGCTCAACACTTGGGTGTCAAGCTGCAGTAACTGCGGGATGTGGCAACAAAGTTGGGACAACCAAGCATGTTAGAAGCCTGAGCGGGGCTAAGCACACACACGGGCAGACTGCGAGAGTATCAGCATGCCTGACTGTGATGGCCATGCTTGGCACACGACGCAACCCCAAACTGCGGCTTGACACCCCAAGTGAAAGCGGCCGGACATAGGTGAACCCACCGAAGGCCGCAGGGCACAGCGCAGGGAAGCAGAAACTGTCGCATCCGCGACGGTCGTAGAGGGCATTGAGCACTGTGCTCATCCGGCCCCCAGAGGCACGTGCCGGACGGACCGGCGATTAAGCTGAAGGAAAGCGAGGCGGCGGCGGAGACGAGCAGCATCGCTGAGTCGGCTTGCTTGCGCCCGGCTGCGCCCGGCTGTGTTGAAAAATTGCGCGAGGAGCAGCGAGGAGAGCTCAGCACCACACACCTCTCCTTAAAATCCCTGTGTGGTGGCGGCGTGCCGTCCTCCCATCCCTCCCTTGCCGTCTCCGTTTTGTTTTTTTCTTTCTTTAGGGGAAGAACAACTCGTACCGGTGAGTATGGACCGAATTCAGTATGGACCGAAATCCCTGATGGCCGGTCCCTCCCTCAAGAATGGCGGCAGTGGCGCTCACTACAGGTGGGGTCAATCCGCCCGCGAAGTGACGATCGCCATCAACGCCGGCTCTCGTCGCGGCCGAGACTTTCGTGTCGAGATCAATCGGAGCCGCGTGAGCGTGGCGGCCAGGAGCTGCGGCGACGAGGTGGCCGCAGACGCCGCAGTCCCTGCGGCTCACAGGCCACCCTCCGACCGCCTCTCCCACCGCCTCCCCAGTGGCAGCACCTCCTGCGCGGCGAGCTGCAGCGACCCGTGCTGACGGACGAGTGTGAGTGGAGCGTGGAGGACGGGTCGCTGATCATTGCCCTCGCCAAGGACGGCCGGCTCGGCGCCGAGGCGGAGTGGTGGACCGGGGTGCTCGCCGGCGAGGACACGCTCGAGGCACGGACGGCGGACGCGGTGGCCTACGCCGCGCTCGAAGGCCTCCCCGAGGAAGAGCGGCACCTCGCTACAAAGGCGGCAGCCGAGAGACAGCCGAGAGATAGCACCCCGCCACAAAGGCGAGGCAGCCGAGAGATGGCCGCGAGATGGCCGAGAGATAGCACCTCCCCACAGAAGCCCTCCTCGCTGCGGGGCACACTGCAAGACACACTGCAAGACACTAGCAGCACACGAGACAGAGCTGCGAGACAGAGCTGCGAGACAGAGCTGCGAGACAGAGCTGAGAGACGGAGCTGAGAGACGGAGCTGCGAGAGACGGAGCGCGAGACAGAGCTGCGAGCTGCGACGGAGCTGCGAGACCAGCCACCACCCGCAAGACGCCTCCCGCGCAGGCGCTCGCCATGAGCAGCGGCCTCGACGCCGTGCACGCGCTCGCTGCAAAGGCCGCCGCGGCTTCCGACGGCGCGGGCGGCGGAGGCGCTGGCGGCGGAGGCGCTGGCAGCCGTGCTGGCGGCGGTGCGGGTGAGGGTGCGGGTGTGGGTGAGGGGGCGGAGGAGCGGGCGGGGCCGGCTGGGAGGGTGCGGCGGCCTCTTCTTCGGCTGCCCGTCCCTGCTGCGCCATGAGGCGCTGGTGTTGCGAGCGCAGGTGCTCGGGCTGAGCGACATCCCGCAGTGGATCCTGGACGAGGTGGAGGGAGATCGAGCCGAGATCGACCCGAGATGTGATCCCCCGGTGTGGTGGATTCGGGGGGGGGGGGGGGGGGGCACTCTCCTCGGCCAGCCGGCGCCAGCCCGCCGCCAGCCCGCCGCCAGCCCGCCGCCAGCCCCGGCCAATCTCTCCCGAGCTCGGCTCACGCGACTAGGCGGACGGCAAGCGAGGCGGCGGACCGGCGGGCGGAAGCGAGCCGCCAGGGGATCGGGAGGCCGCCGCGCAGGCCGCAGCGCAGCCCTCTCCAACGGCAGCAGCCCCGTCGCGAGCCGAGAGAGGCGGGGGCGGCGGCGGCGGTGGCGGCGGTGGCGGCGGCGGTGGCGGCACAGCCGAGGGCGGACAGGTGCCGGCCGCTGCTCTCGCGGCGAAGGCGCCAGAGGAGGCGTCGGAGGCGGAGGCGGCGCGGCAGGCGGCGGCGCGGCGGGCGGCGCGCTCGGTGGCAGAGGCGGCATCGGAGGCGGCGGAAGCAACCGGGCAGCAGCCGCCCGACCGTTCGCGGTTGCGAGAGGTTGACTTGGCGTCCGGCCGTTGGAAGGACGAGCTCGGCACGCGGAGATCGCCCCGAGATCGCCCCGAGATCGGCCCGAGATCGGCCCGAGATCGGCCCGAGATGGCGCGCGAGGAGGAGGACGGGGCGAAGGCCGATGGGGCGGGCGAGAGAGACGACCCCTCCTGCCTAGCCTCTGCATATGGGACGTGCCGACACATGCACATGCACATGCACATGCACATGCACATGCACATGCACATGCACATGCACATGCACATGTCGTGGAGACATGCGCAACATGTCTTGCCGCCCGCCCCACCGCGTGTGCGTCGCGAAGCGGCCCACGCAATCAGACACTCCACCGATCGCGAGCCGCGTCCAAGCAGCCCCGAGCGGTGGCAGTGATTGCTCGGCCAGATCCACACGCGCGCGAACGCCCAGGCCCTTCCTTCCCCGGTCGGTCTCACCGGCGGCCTCTGCCTCCCCCCCTCTCGTTTGGGACAGGCGTGGAGACGGACGAGTACGACGCACCGAACGCCTAGAAGCGGAAGACGTGTCCGTGTCCTCCAGCCGCCGCTCGAGAGGACACGGACTCCGCTGCAGTCGGCCTCATCTGCATGCACTGTATTCGTAGCCCCTCGTCTTCACGCGGCCCTCTAGCCTACTCTGCACACTACCGCTCTCCCGCCCCGAGGCTGGCGTGCCCACCATGTAGGCTGCCCATATCTCCCCATATCTCCCCATATCTCCCGCCCCGAGGCTGGCGTGCCCACCATGTAGGCCGACAACCGTCCTCGCTTCCTCACACCGGCGGGGGAGGCTAGATGCGACAGTGCAGACCCATATCTCCCCATATCTCCCCATATCTCCGGCGGGGGGGGCTAGATGCGACAGTGCAGACCCATATCTCCCCATATCTCCCCATATCTCCGGCGGGGGAGGCTAGATGCGACAGTGCGCACACCTCCCAACACGCCTTCTCGAGAGACGTCGGCCCCACGTGCTCCTCCACCCTCTCCGCGCACCTCCTGGCCGCACCTGTTGCCGCAGCTCACGCGGACGCGGCTGCAGTCACGCTTTCCTTCTCTCCCTATATCTGCCCCTATCTCCCCCTATCTTGCAGTCACGCTGTGTGCACGCGCTGCTCCTGCGAGTAGCCAGCGACGGCCTCGGCCTACCCCTCCTCCCGGCGAATCTCGGCGAATCTCGGCGAATCTCGGCTTACCCTGCTCCGCAGGTGCGGGAGGCGGAGCGGAGGCAGGTTGGCGCGGCGCGGCGCGAGGTCGTGGCCGGCCGGCTGCAGCTGCAGCCGGTACGTGAGCGCCGGATCGGGGACACCTCGGCTGTAAGCCCCTCTTTGGGCCGTGGGGTACGCATCGATGGTACGCATCGATGGTACGCATCGAGGGCGTCTCTCTCGACCCCTCGGCCGCATCC